CCAGAAAAGTCTCCTTTACTCAAGGAGAGTCAAAAAATGTCAGTACTGCCCTTTCTCACGTGAAACGGACGTGTAGCAGGGTGCTGTGCCAGCCCCACGTTGGGGTTCAGGGTGTGAGCGTGTTCATCGTGTCTTTTCACAGCAAGTTCAGCGTGTATCAATTCCTCACTGGGAGCTGGATCTAGTTATGGAAAAGTCATTTAGATTCAGAGATAATTGAGGTTGGAAGGGAGCTCAGAGCTCTCTGGCCCAATCTCTTGCTCAAAGCTTTGAAGTGAAGGCCAACTCTGAAGGTAAATCATCTTCTCCAGGCCTTGTCCTGGCAGGTTTTGAATGTCTCCAAGGCTGGACATCCCTCGCATCTTTTTAGTCCCACCACTCTTTGTGAAATATTTTCCTTCCATCTAATGGGAGCTTTCCATCACCTCTGGCGCCGTCCCCGTGCATCTTCCAGCAGAGTTTGCCTCCAGCTCCTCTTTCTCTCTTCTGCACGGTGTAAGCGCAACCTCACCATTTTTTATTTGATTTTTCCACCCCATCCCGGACCAGCGACTCCAGCATCCCAGCAGAAAAGCGGTCGGTGCCCTCGCATCACCCAGGGACATCTTTATTTTCCTAAGATCCACAGCGCAGCCTTGAACTCTTGAAATCTTTCCAGCCAGAGAACTCCCCTAAAGTAAATACCGAGGGAAGTGCTTTCCACATTGTGTCACTGCTTTGTTGCCCTCTGCAGAGCCCAGCAGGGCCGTGGGGAGCCAATGGGGACGCGATGGTTCTGCAGCTCCCACCACCACCTCCGTGGGTAGAAGCCATCTCAAGCCATTTCTTCCCCTGTAACAACAATTTCTGGTGGCAGGAGCTGGGTTTGAAGCTTTCATTTTTTTTTTTTATGAGCTTTTTTAATGATCTTCCGGATAGGTTTTAGTCCTAAAAACCTCCTCAAAACCCCATCCCAGCCTGTAAGAGGTGCTCAGTGCACGAAGTCCTGTGCTGGCCATGCCACCCCAGGGTGGGTTTTGCACATAGCCATTCGGTGTGTGCTCCAAAGGCTAATTACCCCTCCAACGATGGGAGAAACCCCCAGGAGGGAAGGCTTGACAGCCTCAGACACACACAAAGCTGAGTATTTTTTTTTAATTTCTATTAATTCCCTGGCTCCCCGGTGAGCTGAGGAGGAGTCGCCGTGCACCCCGGCAAGGCTCCCTGTGCCCCGCAGGCTCTCACTGCTGCAGCTCGGCGTTATTAACGCTGTCAATCAAAGCCTCCCCCTAAAGTGATGCCGCTAACGAACTCGCCGTGAACTCGGCCGCCGCAGACGTGTGATTAGCTGGGATCAGCACGGCGGGGCAGACCGTCTCGCAGGTAGCGGGCTCTGGGTGCTCAGCTGAGGTCTCCTCCATCCTTTTTTTTGGTGGTCCCAGGGCTGGGACTTGCTCGCGGAGTTGTGTCGGTGCACTGAAGGGCGCCGTGAGCAGGCATCAGGTGAGGAGTAGGTGTTTGGAAGATTTTGGAGGGGGTAGATTTGGATGCGGGGCTCAAGCTCATTTGCTCTCAGGCTTGGGGATATCAGGGTCTCCAAAAGGGGCTCCAAGGTACCTGGCAGGGGCAATTAATTCATAAATACAATTACCATGTGAGTTTTCCTCACTCCTTGCTCCTTCTTGCAAGCCTGTCTTTATCCAAGATGTATTTATCTCCTTTGAGTTAGCACCGAGGCAGGGAGAGGAGAGGCTTTCTTGCATGAATAATAAAACCAGCATCCTCCTGTCCGTCAGATGAGATAACAAGCCTGCAGGGACTCCGATGAAGACGACATTATCATACAGGTCACCAGCAGGTTATTCTGCAATTCTCTCCTGAGCTTCTGCTCCGTGGTGCAGGTAGCCACCCAAAATGACTCAAAACCCATCTGAAAATGGCACTGTGTGCGTCCCCATGAAACCTCCATCTCTATCCCCCATTCCCAGGGCTGATCCTGCCAGGATGCTAAAATTGGAATCAGACAAGGGGGGACAGCACGGGCTTCCCATGCACACGGTAGCATCCCCACCAGCAGCTGGTGGCCATGGGGCAATAGCTGGAGCCGTTCTGTGCCCGTGGTTATGGTCCGTGGCAAATCTGGGGCACCAGGACCTGCTCGCCCCTCTGCTGGGTTTGCTGCTCGAATCGCTCAGCCCCTGCTTTTATCTCGGTGTGAAAAATTTGCCCAACATCACAGCTCGGTCGCTTATCCCACATGCCAGCTCGGATTAGGTGCTGCGATTCGTGTCAGGTCAGATTCTGGCAGGTTTATTTCACACCGGCAGTGTGCTGCGCTGCCGGGGACAAAGGTGGTGGTGGGGGGAGAAAGAGAAGGACAGAGAGATTTCTAGGGAAATATTTCCCTTCTTTCCTTTCCTTTCCTTTCCTTTCCTTTCCTTTCCTTTCCTTTCCTTTCCTTTCCTTTCCTTTCCTTTCCTTTCCTTTCCTTTCCTTTCCTTTCCTTTTCCTTTCCTTTCCTTTCCTTTCCTTTCCTTTCCTTCCTTTCCTTTCCTTTCCTTTCCTTTCCTTTCCTTTCCCTCTTACCCTTTCTACCATTTTCTATTCCATTTTCTCTTCCAAATACTGTCTGTGTGGGGCTTTCCACTGCTACCAGACAGACCACAGAGAACTAGAGAAGCTGTGGGTCTTGTAACAGAGACAAAAAGGGGAACTGTGGTGGCATCACTGGCATTGCTTACAGCATTTCCTCCCATTTTTTCCCTAAAAGCCCTAAATTCTGGATCCGAGTTGCTGTGTTTTGTGTTTTTTTCTAATACAACTTAGCTGCAAAGAAATGGCTTGGTGTTATCAGGAAGAAGCTAACGGGGCATTTCAGAGCTAGAAAAAAAATGTTCATGAGTTTGTTCCCCAAAGATTTGGCTAACCCATTTTGAGGAGATGGACTGGCAAATTATTGCTGCTGCCTGGGGAAACTCTTTTTTCCCCTGCAGCGGCCGGACACGGCTCCCTCGTGTGTGTATTTCTTCATCTAGGAGCAGCTGTCTGAGAAGAAGTGGGTGAGCATCTCCCAGACAAAACCAAAACCTGCCAGCCCCGCAAGTCCTCTTGCTAAGCAATTTGCTGCTCCGCTGCACTTGGAAGCCTGCACTAAAGCTTTTTTTTTCCCAGCCCCGGCAGCCAGATTAGGAATCGGTGCAAAACTGATTAGGTTACACCTCTCAAGACACAAACAAAAGCTATTTTTAAGCCTTTGGGAAGCACGATGCAAATAATCACAAGGGGTTCTTTCCTTTATTTAAACCACCGCGTTCTCCAGAGCTGTAGGATCCTGATGGAGGTGGGTGTCCAAGACCTGGCTCGTGCCCCGTCACCTACAGGTGGAGCCTCGTGGGGCTGTTGTCACCTCATGGGGAGCATCGTGGAGGTCCCAGCACCTCCCCGAGGCTCTCTTGGGTTGTCAAAGATGTTTGTGGCTGTCGGTTCTTCCTTCTTAGGGATGTCATGTGCTTTCTCGTGCCCTAGCCTCTCACCGTCATATGAACCCAAAAACTGGCGATTTGGAAAAGTAATAAAATAACAAACCCATGGCTGGGGCAGGGTGGTAGGGATGACATCTGCTCCCGTGGCATCCTTTGGTGCAAAAAGGCCTCCAAGATCACCCAGTCCAAGCTCTGACCTGACACTAACCAGTCCTCCACTAAACCATATCACTGAGCTCTACATCTAAACGTCTTTTAAGGACCTCCCTGGCCAGCCCATCCCAATGCCTCACAACCCTTTCGGTAAAGAAGTTTTTCCCAAAATCCAACCTAAACCTCTCCCGGCACAACTTTAGCCCATTCCCCTTCATCCTATCACCGGGCACATGGGAAAATACACCAATTTAGTAGCAAAGCTGTCATTTTATTCAACGAGAACTTGCATGAACCAGTGCTGCCTCTCTCCATCACCTCCCAAGGAAGCCCTCAATCTCAAAGTGAATTTTTTAGGGCCTATGCTTAGTTGGATCATCACGTCCTTACACCATGGGAGCTCAGCCTTCTGCAAGGCAGCATAGCTCTGCTGGGACAGATGAGCTGAGCAGCTCAAGGGGGGTTCATCCCACGAGTATGGAGATGCCCATGCAGATCCCACCCCAAAAAACCCGTCTATGGAGTTACAACTGCATGATTATCTATATAACTTGGAACTTGTGGCATTTAGGACTTTATCTTTGTGGCTCCCAACTGTTTTTGAAAGGTTGGGGCAGTGCAAAGGATCAAGTGCAAGATGATCGTGTGTTCAACTTACCCTGTCCAATATTTAGTCCAAAATGCTCTGATGGGCCTCGAACATCCATATTCAACCCCCAGCACCGGGGCTGATGACTGGCATTTCTTTTCCAAGGGCTGCCATACCTAGAAATCAATAATAACCTTTTATTCACTACGGAGCTTCCTACGTACTCGGGAGCAGAAGATGCGGAAAAACAAATGAAGCCTGGATTCTCCCCTGGCATTATTCCTGATATTTAAAAAGCCGAACCGCTTTCCCCTTGGTTTTGTTAGCCTTTCTATCCTGGTATTTAAACAGAGATAGGATCAGCGTGCTCGGTATCTGCAGATGCTCCCCTTTTAGGGGGTTTTCTGATGGACGGGGGACCTAGGGTTGTGTCCAAAGCTCCTGAGATCCTCTAAGCTGCTGAAAGGCACTTTGGCAGATTGTCATCCAGGAACGAAGGGTATTCAGGTCCTAAGAGCATGTCTGAGCTGTAGGGTGGGAGCAGGGTTGCTCTAAGCCTCAGGACTAGCACTTCTCGGGGTCATTGAGCCATTGGGATTTTCATACCTAACCAAATAACCAGTGGGATTTGGGTCTCAAAGTCCTGGGTCTGTGTGCTGCTTGTATGGATGCCCAGTCCATGAGCATCCTGGGGTGGAAAGGGGACGTCCACCTGTGTCACCCCATGCATGGCAGTGGTTTCGTGGCCCTCGTGGCTTGAGCAGTGGGGTTGATGCTCCTTCTCTGCTTGGTTTCAGGCATGGAAGAAGCGCTGGTTTGTCCTGCGCAGCGGTCGGATGAGCGGCGACCCCGACGTCCTGGAGTACTACAAAAATGACCACTCCAAGAAACCTTTACGGGTGATCAACCTCAACTTCTGCGAGCAGGTGGATGCGGGGCTGACCTTCAACAAGAAGGAGCTGCAGGACAGCTACATCTTTGACATCAAGACCAGCGACAGGACCTTCTATCTGGTGGCCGAGACCGAAGACGACATGAACAAGTGGGTTCGCAGCATCTGCCAGATCTGCGGCTTCAACCAGTCCGAGGAGAACACAGGTACCATGTCCACAGCCAAAACATGTCCCGTCCCGTCCTCTCTGATGGACCTCTTTCAATCAGAGCCATGGGACGAGGGTGCAGGGCTGGGGTCTGGCTCATCTCTGGATGAACACACGGGGAACCTCCACGGGGGTTTCCTACCTTCAGCATCCAAAGCAGAGCAGGTTTTGCCCCTTCAAGCCACCCAATTTATTTTTTTCCCTCTTATGGGAAGCTGGGGAGGTTTGGGGTGTCTTTTAGCTGCAGCCTCTGTCCTTATCCACCACCAAAGTCCCCTTGAGAGTCATGGGATTCAGCGGTGAAGTCCCCTTTTTTCACGAGTTTCAGCCCCTTGGTGGAGTGGGGTGTGGTGAGAGGTTTAACGGGACCGTGTCCCTCATCCTGCTGTGCTTGTCCCCAGCACCACCACTGCTGTGTGGACACTCACAACCTCCCCACCTACATCCCCATCTCCTCCTGGGACACACTGAGAAAGCCTTGGGTGGGAGGAGGTAAATGTTGGGTGGTTTTGTGCCCACCATCCAAACCCAGCTTTGCTTTGGCAAGCTGCTGCCTCAAGCGCCACTGAGCCACCTCCACGTCCCCAGCACGGCCTGGGGACCTTCACGGCCATCCCACCAGGGCTGTTCCTCAAAATGGTGTCACCAGCTGCTCCTCGAGGGCTGCCCAGCTTGTTCAGAGGCACCGCGAGGGGTCACATCCACCCTGAACAGCACGGGATGGGGCTGAGCACCTGGGGTGCAGCCCCACAGCCCCGCTGTGCCTGGTATCAGGTGTGGGCATCTTTGCTTTATCTCATCCATGGTTTTATCTCATCTGTGGCCTTATCACATCCACAGCTTTATTTCATATGTGGTGTTATCTCGTCCGTGGCTTTATCTCATCTGGGCTTTCCCCAAGCCTCAAGCCACGGGTTGGAGGAGCTCAGCTAGGGCTCCAAAACCAGCCCAGCATCTGCTGCCAAAGGAACTGGCTGCCAGGAGGTGCCAGTGCCATGCTGAGAGCCCTTTCCTCGCAGCATCCAGGATAAACCCTCTTCGTGCGTTACTTTTCTCCCGTCTCATCCCCAAAAAAAAGATCTTCTTGCAAAAAAGGGGACCCCAGCCTCGTGCTCCGCCTGCACAAAGCTCCCCGTAAGGACGCCCAGCTTGCCTCTCTTTCGGTCCAGCCCGGAGCAGCTGCGATCTGCTGAATCCCTGCCAAGATCCCGTCGGGCAGGACAGCAAACAAAGCATCGCGGCGGCGCGATCTTCCCCCGCTGACGCATTCAAACGGGACGTCACCTTGGCAATGCGAGCGGCTGAAGGGATCCTGGATAACGCCACGAGCACAATCTCGCAGGGAAAGGTCAGGCTGAATTAAATGACATCCCGTGGCGACGCCGGCGATGCAGCAGGGTTTGGTGAAATCGTAGGCACCTTTATAAGAGCTCTGTGTTTTCCATTCTGCCTGCGTTCAGCTCCGGGGGGGAGCTTTTTTTTTTTTTCTTCCCCTTTAGGAAAATGAGCTGCCAGCGCAGGGAGAGCGGGATCGATACCGGGCTGGGGTGAAATAGAAACCTGGGGCATCAAAAGGGAAAACGATCTCCTGGCTGCAAGTCCATCTGTCCCAAAGGGAAGCGAGGATTTGTTAGACTGCAGGGATCCAAGCGCTGCTCCCCGCGGGACGACGTGGAGTGACATCAGCAAAAGAGGAGCAAAAATCCCTGTTTGTCACAAAAATCACAGCTCGCTTAACGCCGGAGGGAAAGTACCCACTTGAAACAGTACCCGGCTGCCAAAACGCAATTTTCTGAGTCAGCTGCGAGCGAGCCTGCGGCGGCGAACCCAGCAGATGTGTCCAGATGCTGCAGAAAGAGGGAGCATGAATTATTCAGGGCTGGGGCTTTGCTTTGGTGCTCGCCGAAGCGGTGACCTCTGGCAGGAGCCTTTCCTTTGCTGTTTGCTGCGAGCTCCCAGGCTGCCTGCACGTCCTAGGTGCTGTCCCTATCCGAGGGCAGGACCCTTCACTCCTCCTCGTTGAACCCCACGAGGTTCCTAGAAGCCCACCTGGCCACCCTGTGGGTGGGTAATTTGGGAAATCCCTCTGGATTTCCAAAATTAAATCACGTTTGTGCTGGGTAACACCCAGGGCTCGAGGCTGAGCTTGCTCAGTGCAGCCTTGAAGAGTCAGGAACTGGATGCCCCAAAAAGCTAACCATCGGAAGCAGGGATAGCTCTGTGCTAATTGCACCAATTAATTACCTCCACCACCATCCCAGCAGCCAGGTGGAATGAGATCAGAAGCTTCCTATGGCCGGGGAAGCTCCCTACAGCACCCTAACCCCAAAGCCTGCCTGGAAAAAAAAAAAAGGCAAAACACCTTTGCAAGAAACCCCCAAAAAAAAGAATGGCCAAAGTGCTCTTTGATGCTTCCTGCTGCTTGCAGCGCGACGGGAGGCGGTCGATCTCCTCTCGCTTGGTTTTTGCATTAGTCGGTCGTGTCCTGTCTAGACTGGAAGGCTCTGAGGATTAAGACACGGATGGAGCCGAGCACAATTCAGCGTGGCTGCACATCTGGCTCATCAAAAGGGAGCTGCCCCGCAGCCTCGGGGACTTAGGTGGAAGAGGAGACGCGGTCCCCAGCATCACCAAAGCCTCCTGGAAGGAGCTGAGGAGCAACGAGATTGCTTTTACCGGGAGAGGGGAAATGAAATTGGCTCCCAGGTGCTTACCCAGCCCCCTGCAGCTCCCTGTTTCTGCTCGCACCTCGCTGCTTTGATAGCTAATTACTGCTTTCAGACCACACCAGCCTCACCGGGAGGGCAACCCCGATGCTGCTTTCTCCAGCTGGCAGACAGGGATGTGGCGAAAACCCCAAATCCCCCAAGATTTTCCTTGCTTTTAGGGTAGGATTCGGGCTGCTTCCATCCCTTCTCTTTGCTCCCCGTTGGGTGCCGGCCCCATCCCGGCATCTCCGCCGGCGCCCTCGCTTTGGGGTGAATATTTCTGGTTATCCCGTGGCCATCGAGTTCCCAGGGCCCCTCCGCCGTGGGCTGTGGCAGGATCCCAAGCTCGTGGGCACCGCACTGTGCTTCCAGCCAGCTGCATTTTCCCTGCCCTAGTGGGCAGGCGGCCAGCTCTCAGCTGCGCGCTGCATTTTCTCAGGCGCTTTTGTTGTTTGGTTTTGGGGGGGGGGGAAGAAAGAAAAAAAAAAAAGGGGGGAGGAAAAATAAATAAATAAAGCCCGCTGAACGTATCTCATCTGCCATTAACCCTTCCTGGAGCTGCTCCTTCAGGAAAAAAAAAAAAAAATGAGGTTTCCTATTTCTGGTAGGACTCGTTGCTGCAGCTTGTGATTTAATTTCTCGTGGACCTGCATGCAGGGAGCGTGTCCTTGCAGGGGTCTTGTGCACAGGTCACTTATTTCGGATGGATTAAGAATGGATGAAGAAGTAGGTACCTTCCTAATTCTGCCCCCATTCACCTCCCTGCTCCTTTTTTTTTCTTTTTTGGCCTCCTTCTTGGGGCACGGACTCTCCCAGGGCTTTGACTCACGGGCACTGATCAAACCCCTGTGGGATTTTAATATTTCACCGTGTTGCTGCCCCTGTGCTCGAGGTTTTACCCTGCACTGGAAGGAGGGAGGGGAATATCTGCAGCATTTCAACCCCGTTTGCATGCCTCAGCTCGGCCTTGACGTCTCACCCCAATGCTTGAGGCTTCCCAGCACTCATCCTACAGCTTCTCCCCGACAAACGGCAGCCTGGCCGCGGTGAAAAAAGCAGAGCAGAAGGAGCAGCAGCGGCTCAGGGGATGAGCGACCGCCCCTGCTGCGAGCTGAAGGCGCTCGGTGAGGCTGAGCGGGGCGTGGGAAAGGGCCAGCACTCGGCTCCTGCCCCGTGGGCTGCGTTTGGCAGCAGTGGCCTCTCCCTCCCAACCCGGGCACGCTCGTCCTCAGCCAAAAAATAGGGTCGTGGAGTGCTTTTTCTTTTCATTCTTTTTTTTATCATCCAGGACTTGGTTTCTTTTATCTGAGGCCCCGCTTGCTGCGAGGTGCTCGGAGGGGCCGGCTCCCTCCTCGCTCCATCCTCAAAGCTCGGAGTTGATGCTGTGCATCCCGGCTGGGATCAATCCCCAGCGCTCCCCGGGCTTTTAAGCGGCTCGCCGAGTGCCAGCCAGGGCCGGGCATTAATGTTTAATGGAGAGCTGAGTGTCTCTGCCTGCTAAGTCTGCAGGGCTGATGCTTTCCCAGCTGGGAAGAAGGGGACTCTCCTTCCTCCTTCGACTCAGCTTGCTCCTGCTCCTCTCCACCCCCAAAAACATCTCAGTGCCGTATCAGGCCAGCAATGCCTCTCACCCTGCTGCTTCCAGCTTTGCGTGGACGTTTGCTGAGCTCAGGGAGGAAAAACACAGCACCACGCAACCCCCAAAGGTTTATTTGGAGGCTGGGAGCTGCCCCAAAGCTCAGCGAGGCACCAAGAAGCCCAAAGCAGGGGACAGCCCGGGGGCAGCCCCCAATTCCCGCTGCCTTCACCTCTCCTATGGCCAGAAACCAGAGGGGAAACCCTAATGACCAGGTACTTCCTTGCTATTGTGCCCGGCACACGCCTGCTTCCTTCCCTGCTCGCACCCTGGATGAGCTGCAAGCCCCGCAGCGTGCCGGGGAGCTCGCTGGTGGCCAAGAAATAGGGGCAAGGAGGGAGGCGTGGGGCTGTCCTTGCGGCTCTGAAGGCACCCCAAGCCCCGAGTGCTATATTTTGGGATCTGCAGGCAGCACTGCCACCTAAGGGCAGCCAAGCAGGCCACCAGACTACACCCTGCTGAGCCCTACACCCTCAAAAGGGGCCAGGATTTGATGGTTCAGCTTCTTTTGACTCCGGTTGCTTGGCCTTGGCTTTGAGTTTGCGGTCTACAGGGCGCTTTGGCAAGCGACGAGCAAGGTTGGGGTTGAGTTGAGCTCAAGCCATGGGGCAGATCTGCTCTGGTTCCTTCCGTGTATGTCGTTAACCCACCCAAAAACCTAATTGCCTCGTTTGGGATGTGGAGGTAGCCTGCATTGGGGTGGCAATGTGGGGTCATCGAGCCCTTTCCTCCCACCCTACAGTCCCTATAAATAGATGCAGCCTTTCCCTCGGTGTTCCCATCCATATTTTGTCCACTCAGCATCACAGACCTCCTTTTAAATCACCATATTTCACACCTACACCCCCCGATTACACATCTCAGGGACGTTTGGGGTCAATCCCACTGCGTTTCTCTCCAACGTCTGCTGACTTTGCCCAGCGAGGGCAACAATCGTGGCTGCAGATTCATACCTGGGGATGGCACATCTCAACCCATGGCTTGCTCCAGCCCACCTGGAGTGGGGCTGGGAACCCAATGACCCCATCTAACTTCGCACCAGCCTCATTCCTAACTTCATTTTCCTGCAGCCACCTCCTTGTGGGAGCCCTAGCCTATCCCTTCGTCATCCTGCCTCTTTAAATTCGCTCCAAACTTCCCTGACCCTGGTTTTCCTGAGCCACAAACAGCAAGTTATTTTAGGATCTGACACTGTTCAGCTTTTATTTCAGTGTAAACAATACCAGAGATGGAGTGGTCTTGGCACAAAGGAGCGGCTTGAGAGCAGTTAAGTGCCTGCTGACTTCCCCCCCCCATTCCCCTCCTCTTTCCCCCCTGCCTTTTTTTCCCTCTTTCCCTTTGGAGATGAGCTAGTTCAGGTGCTAATGAGTCTGCTGGAGAGCCGAGAGCCACTGACAAGCAGGAATTTGCTCCTGGAAGAAAGAAACAGGCAGAGACCACTGCAGATTTCTACCAACCCATCGGGGTCCCCTTGCTGCAATTCCCATGGTCTTTGGGAGAGGGAGCCGATGCCGTGGGCAGTTGGTTGTAACACGCCCATTTTTAGGGCAAAAGTGGAAAAAGATGTCTGAAATGGGGCAAATCCATTTGCAACAGATAATTTTGCACCCTAAAAGTGCCTGTTTCTATCCCTTGACTCTCCGGAGAATGAGGATTGCTGAGCTCAGGTGGAAACATCCACCTCGTAGACTCCTAAAAGCATGCTGAGATGAATCCCATCCATCTCAGGTCTTCTCCCAAGGCTTTTGAGGTGGTTGAGGTGAGGTGGAATCATTTGTCATCATTTCATTTACATCAGACAAGGACCAACCCCTACTTTCTTCCATACCTTTCTTTGCTTGCCATACTCGGCTCTTCATCATGTTGTGTTACCAGAAGCGTTGCAGGGCCAGAGCGAGCACCAAGAGCAGATTTCAAGCCCGTTTAGGTGCCAAGAAAAAGATTAAAGCAGAGATACAGAGGGCTTTGGAAACCAGAAAGCAAGAGAAAAAGTCTTAAGGGATCTGCATGAAGCCAAGCTTCTGGCTTCAGGGGTCTGATGCCATTGAACATCCAAGGCTTGCAATGCTGGATCAGCATTTTCTTTAGAATTTGGGAATTTAGGATTTTTTTTTTAATTTTATATTGGCTCTGGACATTTTGGAGGGCTGGAAAATCCAGGAGGTCTCTTGGCTTTGTAATTGCAAACCCGTAGCACTGTCATTTTGGGAGAGCCCCCAGCAGAGCTGGCAGAGGATGCAGCTGGGTTTACAGGCGAAGAACCCTCCTCTCCTGCTGCAAATAACAAAATCATCCACCAGCAGAAAAAGAAGATGCATGTGCAGCTTTCAAAAAAGCCCGACGAGCAAAATCTTCCAGTCCTTCTTGACTGGTTCCCAGCAGGAGCCCAGTGCAAGGCTGTCCAGCCCCTGCTGGAGATAAATATAGAGCTGGAGGCTTGGGGAAAATCCTGCCCTTTCCTGGCCAAGGTCCCACTGGGTTCACTGAGCTAGGGCTGGGATTTGAGCTGGGAGGGGAGGAAGAAATGTCAAGTTTGAGAGTTGTTTTATTTTTTTTTTGATGTTTTATTAGAGCAGAAGGCGTTGCCCAGCCCTCCCAGCAGAGCCTGGCACGCCGTATTCGCGCCTCTCAGCCCTTCCCAGGGCTGCCTCCTGGCCCAGGTACCCCGAAGGAGAAAGCCATTTCAAACAATTCTTCATTTTCTAATTGGCTTTTATCTCTGTGAGCCCCGCGCGCATCAGGTCAGCCCCATTAGGTTAATGGGCGCCGAGGAATTTTTCGGCTGACTGAGTGACCGTGGAAAAACGAGCGCGGCGGACGGTATCAGCATCAGATCGGAAAGCAAAACCACGCAAAGCCTTCGGAAAGAAAAACAGATGATGGGCTTGGAGCAAAGTGACCAGTGAAGCAGCACGGGCTGAGCACAAGGGAAGGAGGGAAGGAGGGAGAAATTTTGGGCATCAGCCAGCCGGGAGGAAACTCGCAGTCGGATTTGCCCATGCTGATGTTTCCCAAAAGGGCCCCGGGCTGGGCAGTCTTGGGGTTTGCCCTGCTGCACCCCGTGTCTTCAGAGCCTCCGTTATATGCACGTGTAGATGCAGGTGCCCCACGCGTGGGGCTCAACCCAGGCAAAGTGATGGAGGCAGAACCCCAAAATCTGTGCGCGAGCAAGTTGGGGGACGAGGGAGGAAATCAGTGACCTGCGTGTCAAATTATTTAGGGCTGCTTTTCCCATCATGGCTCTTTTCCCCCACAATCACCACACCTCCCCTTTACTCCCCCCATGTATTTCAGGTTGTTTTTTCCCCAACATTGGATGCGGGCCACGTGTTTATACCCCCTAAGCTCAGCTTTGTGAAGCGTGCTAAAAGCCAGGGCAGATTTTAAGCTCTCATTTCCCGGACCCCGATGCCTGTTTGTTTACTGCTTTGCCTTGCTTTATATTTCCAATTAAAACGAAGCCTGAGTGAAGAGAAAGCTTTCTAAAGCCTTGAAAGCCTCCGAGTGAATATGCTCATGAAGCAGGAAGGAGCCGTGAAGCTGTCGATTGCGGTGAACTTTCCATGACACCACTCAGCGTTTGTTTCCAGACTGATTTTTATTTATGAATGCAGTAGCATTTATTACTGATTTTATCTGCAAAGATAACACTTCTTCCCTAGATGGCTTCTGTGCTTTGCTTATAATTGCTGCCTGCTTCTCCAGCACGCTGCTGCATTATTTAGTGCGCTGCATTGTCCGAGCTCCAGCAAAGGGGATTTATTATTTGGACCGGAGGGTTTCACCTGATCTGGGGGATACAGGAGCACGTGAAAACTCCCTTTGGGTGCCCTGGCCAAATCCTAGCTCCCTGCAGGAAGGCTGAGGACATCTCTCGGAGTCTTCACAGAGGACCAAACTTCTGCCTTTTGCTGATGGAGGTGGCGCGGTGATGGTTTCTGTCCTCTCCAAGCTAGAAGTGGTTTTAAAAGGGACCCTTGGCCACAGCTCCTGAAAATAAAATAATAATAAAGAAAAAAAAATACACTTTTTAGCGTGAGGGCACTCAAACACTGGGGGCTGTGGAGTCTCTGCCCTTGGAGCTACTCAAAACCCAACAGGACACAGCCTGGAGCAGGAGGTTGGCCTAGACCATCCCCAAAGGTCCGTCCCCACCCCAAATCTTCTGTGCTTCTGTAATTTTCATGGTGTGACCCTGTAGGGAAATACCAGACCTCAGAGCACGCTGAGGAGCAGAGGCACCCCGGCAATCCCAGCAGGTAAAACTGGAGCACCAGTTCCCTGGTAGCATCCCCTCCAAGGTGGGAAGGGGCACGGCCCCATTGGAGTCCCACCCTTTGTAGCTGTTTATTAGGATGCCAAACAGCATCTCACCTACAAGATTTCCTCACGCTGCCCATGACCAAGTCCTCTCCTGGCCAATGCAGCTGCTGCTTGCCTTGAGAGTAAGCTGGGCTAGAGTGGCTCCCTGCATTTGCTATTTTTTATCTGGGAAAATCATTCCCCGAAGCTCGCGTACCCTCCGTGCAGGCTCAACCTTGACAGCAGGCCTTGACGCTGGTTAATTATTTTGGCTGGCTGGCCCTAACAGCTCGAATTGCTCTCCAATGAGTCATGATGGAGCCTTTCAAATACCCACTTGAAATCCATAAAAATCCATGATGAGCCTTTTTTTTTGCTAGCTGATGGTTGCTTCTGGCAATTAGTGGTCGGGTCAAAACCTGGTCACAGGCCACCTCCTTATCTGCCAGGGGATTGTCTCCTGAAATTCTTGGTGGAGAAGACTTTTTCCTGGAGAGCTCTCCGGTGTATTTTTAAAAGTCATTACATTATTTTTTTTAATGTCTCAGTCCCAATGTCCTGTATTCCGATGGCTTCTCCTCCTTCCCAAACTTCCACTGGCACAGGGATGCCCATGGTTGTATCAGTGGGGTGAAAATATTTGCATTGAGAAGTGCTGGAAACGGGGAAGTGAGGCATAAATCAGTTTTTTCCCATTGCTGCAGGAGCGATCCCTGTGAAGTTCCCAGCTTTCTCTGGACCTTTTGGAAGTGGAAAGCTGGAGCAGGCTGGCTTCTCTCATCTGCTCCTGGTAATTCCTGCATTGCTGTGATCACTGCCCTGCACATTTGCTGCCAAGCCCTATTTCATCTCATAGGTGAAGGACTCCGCGACACAGATAAGGGGGCACCGGGTACTGGATCTGACCCAGAACCTCTTCAGCAGCCTTGTTAGGGCATGGTTTACGTAGGTGATTAGAGATTGGAATTTAATTAGGAATTAAAATACGACAAATCCCATTCCTGTAAGAAAGGAGCTCGCCGAAGGCACATACGGAGGCTCAGCTCCGAGCGGCAAGTGGTGGTAAAAATTCAGTGTGCTCTTCTTCCTTGGAATTCATTTCCATCCATCCTCAGCCTCGGTTTGATTCATGCATTTTGATTCCAAGTTGGAATGAATTTCGAAAAGAAAAAAAAATCATGAAAGCGCATCCTGAGGATTTTCAGCCAAAACACCGCCATCCACCCCCCCTAAAAAGTGATCCGAGGAGAAGGAATCGAAGCACCTTGACCTTCTCCCCCTCCACTTCAAATTCCCTTATCCCCTCTGAAGGTTTCTCATGGTTTCTGGCTGCCGGATGACTGCCTTGGCAAGCTCCCTTTTGATCGAGTGGCACGTTGCAGCTGGAGGATGTCAGAAGATTTCTCAGCTGGTCCTAAGCCAAGCGGGAAGAGATGCGCCGGGCAGGAGGCTCGGGATTTTGGTCTGGGTGCTGCTGCCATCTGTGGTGAGCACGAGGAGACGGGCACAGCCTCGAGGGTGCTAATGTAATCTGGCTCTCCTGGCTGTTGGGGATGGGCTCACAGAGTTTTGCGAGCTGTGTCTGGGGGATGAAGAGGAGGGAGAGGAGACGCTGCACAGGGAGAGTGCTTGGGATCGTTCCCATCCCGTGAGGGAGCATCAGGGGAGAGAGAATTTGCTCCAGTCCTTAGATGCTGGAGGATGTTTTGCTCCTGAGTCAGGGCACGAGGAATGCCAAAGCCCAAAAATATTCCTCGCGGGGCGATCGTGACAGATGCTGCTGAGGGCCAAGCTCCTCGCTACGCTCTGCTACCCCGCTAAATCCAGCCCCGCTGCTGCTCCGCGTTAAAAACAACCCCCAAAGGAGCCCGAGCTTCAGTGCGCAAGGTTCAAGCACCAGCAGCCATGCCGGGAGCTGCTTGGTGCTGCAATATCCAGGGGGGAGAGAGCTGCTGGCCCACGGCCAGATGGGGGGCGTCCACGTGGAAACATTTCTCCCTAGAAATAAGAGCAGGGAAAGCGCGACGTGGAGATGAACTGCTGGCGAAGCCCAGGGGGACGTGAAACCCAGCAGGATTTGGGGCTGCTTTAAGGACCTTCAGCTCCTCTTCAGGACTGTCCCAGTGGGGATGGAGATAGGGACGGGGATGGGGATGACCCCAACCCCAAAGCACTCGCAAGGAGAAGCTGCCAGCCCCGCGTTTCTCAGCACGAAGACCGCGCTCAAGCATCGCCGCGCTGCTTTCAGCCCACGCCAGCCCTTGCCTTTTGGCACGAGCCGCGCTCCCCGCTCCCTGCCAAACCAGTACAGATGTTTTAACACCCACCGGAGCCCAGATAATTACTAACAGAGCCCAGAGGCTGGTCGGGGCTGGTTGTGTTTTTTTTTTATTTTTATTTTTTCATTGCGTGAACTTTCAGCCGCTCTCGAGCGAGGCGCCTCCCACTTGCTGACATTGCTCTCAAAGACGTTTTTTGTGGGCCATGTTGCTGATGTTCATTTTATTAGGGGAAAAACTGAGAAGCCCCAACCAGGATGAGGATCCTCACCCCGTGCCCGTTGATGTAATGATGACCAAAGAGCGAAACAAGTGCAGGGAAGACGAGTGGAGTGGCTGGGACAATGTTTTGATGGGAAAGGAGAGCCGGTTTCTATCCAGTGGCTTCCCAACCACAGCATGATGAAGCTTAGCTCATTTTCAAATGGTTTTGGGAAGCGTTTTCTGTGGGATGAAACCATGAAATCATCTGGTGGGCACTGGCCAGGGGATGCTGCAGGTTCTCCCCATCCTAGATCCTCCAGGATCACCTGCTCCAACCACCCCCTACCACCAATGTCACCACGAAGCCCTGTCCCCAAGCACCACGTCCAACCTCTCCTTGAACACCCCCAGGGACGGGGACTCCCCCACCTCCCTGGGCAACCCATCCCAAGGCCTGACCGCTCTTGCTGAGCAGAAATGTCTCCTCATTTCCAACCTGAGCCTTCCCTGGCACAACTCGAGGCCGTTCCCTCTGCTCCTGGCCCTGGTTATCTGCGAGAAGCTGATAACCGGTTGGGTGGAAGATGGCTGGCACGAGCCCACCGACCATGGCTCCGCCGTGAAATTCCTCACTCACACGCCCAGCCAGGAAGATTTCCATCCCGCATTTTGCTTCCAGTTGCTGTGGAGACCGATTTAAATGAAACCCTGGCACTTGGAAAGGGAATATGATTCGAAGTCATTTGCGATGCAAGGTCCCATGCTAATAGCATTAGCATCTTATTTGATTATGGCGATGTGTGGGGAATAAATTTTAAGTCTTTTTTCCCAATCGTTACATCTTAAAAAGAAGAGGGAGAGGGAAACGTGCAGGTTTTAGCTGCTACTGAAGCCTTTTCTGCGGCTGAACTCGTGATTTCTTTATGCATGAAGCTTGGCGGGTCACGGGCATCTCTAACCCGATGGCAAGGCGAGCTGCTCCCAGGAAGGGACCTTTTCTTTCTCTGCCTCCACTGAGCACTGTTAATAGACTGCAAAATGGGCTGGGCTCGGGTTTTTAATGAGGGATACAGAAATCCAGGATGGCTTTTGTGGCTCTTTGCTTTTTTTTTCTTTGCTGGAGCATCGGTGTCGCAGAGCTCGCGTTGTGCAGTCCTCCCAGTGCTTGCAGAGATTTTGTTCCCTGCGTTTGACCCTCAACATCTCAGGGATGGATTCGCCTTTAGGATTTCTTTAGCTGAGCCTGGCATGTAGACAGGGCACGTCTGTAGCCCTTAAATGAGAAAAATGCCCCACAACACCTTTGCGGAGGCGCTGGTTCTGAAATTGAAAGCTGCGTCGATGAGAAAGGGAGTTTGGGGTCTTCCACGGTGACTTCCAGGGAGAGCTGAGCATCCAGCAGGGGAAAAATGAGGAAAACAGTGATATTATTTTGAGTCTCTGTCCCTACAGGCGTGTTTTCTGGGGATGAACCATCCCCTGCTCACACTGACCCTGCTCTCTGGTTTAGGGACACCGTATTGCAGCCATGGAGAGAAAAATGGGGCCAAACTGCTGCATTTTGGTCCCATGCGTGCTTGCAAAATTCCCAAGGGAAGAGGAGAGGAGAAATTCGGGGGTCCCCTTCCTTTCCCCATCACTTCTTTGCTGGGTGAGGGTAAAGCAGCCCCGTAACAGCGCTGCTGTTTTATGGACTCCCCAAGCAAGCGGGGAGTTGTAATGTTTCTCCCCCAAGGTAAGGAGAGCTGGAAATAAATCACTCCTGCAACGAGCCGGGGATGGCAGCTCTTCTGTAATACCAAGTGCAAATATTTGGGCCTCCTGTGCTCTCCCTTGAATCGAAATGGCACTAAAGCATGCATAAGTAAAGCAGGTTCATGTTTTTCTCATAGCAAAAAGTTTTTTTCTCTGCTCTCCCGCAACATTAAAGACCTGAGTTTTCCATAAAAAGGGCTTTAAGGTTTCAAACCTGTCCTTCGTCCCCAGCTTTAGGTGGCTGTCCCCGGGCAGAGCTCTCTGCCAAGGGTGTCCCAGGTGGGATGCTCAAGGTCGCACGGACACCAGGGCTGCGGGCACCTCGCTTCCCTTTGCTTTGCCCTCCAAATATCAACACGAAAGGATTCGCTCTTTCAAGGGTGGCCCCCAGGGTTTGGGGGGATTTTTTTTTTTTTTTTTTGGCTACAGCCACAACCACCGCTCGGCTGCTTTTGTCACTCTCCCTCCTGCCCCTTTGTCCTTCAGAGAATCGATTTCTGTTCAGATAGCTGGGATGTGTAACGCGTTGAGGTCAGGGTGATCTGGCTTGGCTCCTTTCCCTCTCCTCTCTCTCCTTTTCTCCCCAGCACTGGGATTTTTCCCCCTGTTCCCATGCCCCTCCAAGGCAAACGCAGAAGAAATCGCTTACCCATTTTTTTTAGTATTTTTGTGCAAAAATACAAGCAGGGCTCTGGCACTAATGGCTATTTATTTCCACTGATCTTTGCCTCCCTGCCTCTCCCGTCACCTCTTTCTAGGGTAATTCTTCCCATCCTGTGCTGCATGTGCAAGTAATTGGGGTTTTTTCGCTGTTGGCAGTAGAGAAAAACCTAAGGGGAGCAGCCCAGGCCAAAAATCATTCGGAAGGCTGAAATTGGGAAAGAGAAATCGTGCCCTGAGCAGCTGAACCCTGTCTGCGAAGCGGAGGTGCTCCTTTCCCTCAGCCAGTCGGTTTCTCGAAAGCAAATGGAAATAAGCAGCAGAAATCAAATGGAAAAGAACAGCTGAGAAGACCAAAAGCACCTCACTGTACTCCTTTGGGCTCCTCTGCAGTGCAGGATGCAGCTGCGGTCAGCCCCACTTAGCCCCATCCTTAGTTTTGGGGAGCTCTGCTGCCACAATTTGGGCAGCGCTGATTATTACGGTCCCTGCACCCTCTCCTGCAGCTCCTCGAGAGGGCAAATCACCCAAATCAGGCGCCCTTCCCCACCCACTCGCTGGAGAAAACCTTTAGCCGGTGCCTCTGCACATGTCCTCAGCCCAACGATGCCTTTTTTCGAATGCCATCCGGCTCCGAGAGCTGGGGAAATAAACATTCCCCGCGCTCATCCTCGCAGCATCCCAGGGCGTCCTGGCAGTGACTCATCCCCGGGCCGTGTTGTTTGCTCTGTCCCTGCCAGGAGAAGCACGCGGAGGGCTTGTTTTGGTAGGGTTGTTTGTCTTCTTCTTTGTTTTTTCTTTATTATTTTTTTTTCTAGCAGTGAGCTGGCAGCAAGAGTGGAGGCGCAGGCGGATCCCCATGGGGGTTTTGTCCCCCTTTTTTTATTTTTTTTTTATTTTTTTTTCCTAATGGAGCTGCTCCAAATACTGGGGGGAAGTGTAGCGCACGAGGACGCCTCCGCGCTCTCCTAGGGATTATTTCTAGCGGGTTCCTCTATTCCCTCCCCAAATTACAAAATAACCCTCGCCACCAGTTGTGGCTGGCAAGGATTCAGCAGCACGGTCCGAAGCTTCGTGGTTTGCCATCGTGGAGGGGTGGCACAGCCCAAGCGTGGTCCCCAGAAGAAATGATGGCTCGCAGATAGCGAGCGATGGAGCACAGGCTCCAGGGCATGGCACAGCATCACCTGGAGAGGCGTTTTGGGGTTTTACTTGCAGGGCAGCTCGTGGGAACCTTTATTTGCAAGGGTGCTTGGGCTGGTTCTCCATGGGCAGCGTGATGTGTGTATCACAGCCAATTTCAGGCAAAAATAGGAAATCTGGTGCCTTGCTGCAACCACTGATGAAAGCACAGGAATTTTAAAAAAAAATTCCAAAAATCGCCACCTCCTTGGCTGCACCTTTCCCCCTCCGTGGGTTACCGGGGTTGTAGCCACAGCCTCTGCCTTCAGGGGGAAAGCCAACATTGCTGCTACGGTGAAAAAAAATCAAAAACAAAAATAAAAAAGCTGTTCTGAGCAACAATTTCCGAAGGAGGCTGAGTAATTCTTGCACTCAGATAAGCGCAGGAACATCGTGTGAAGGGATGTGCACATAGCACTAGCCGGCTGCTGGAAGCCAGGGACTTCAGAGCTGTCAGCAGCGAGGGAAATACCGCTTTGGGGGATCGAAAACATTCAGAAAAAAATTCCTGGCTCCCAGCCTAGTCAGGGCCGCTGCCGGCCGTGCTTGTAGCTGCAGATTTCTTCTTCAGGGACGGAGTCCCGATGAGGATTTCTTTTCCCCTTGCCGCGACGTGCGGCCAAAAAGGCACATCTAAACCCGGACCAGAGAGCACCACGCCTTCAGCTGACCGAAACCAACCTGTTTTTGCTTCTGGTTCTCCTCTCAAGGATCAGGACAACATCTGCAGCACGAGCCCGACGAGCTCTTTGCATGCAAGCCGTGCTGTCGACATCGGGTTTTAGGTTGTGGGCGTCCAACGCCGCTCTTGCAGAGCGTGAGAGCCGAATTCCCCAACCTCGGAGGAGCTCGGGCCAGGAAACATGGGGTTAAGATGACACTTCCCATATGGCCCCGCTCCACAACCTTAACTCTGCCCCTCTGGGAACAGCCATAGGAGCTGGAACAAGACCTCATCCCTCCTTGGCTATACTCGATGCATTCCCTCGACATAAACTCAAGATCTCAACGTAAAGCCAAGGGATTTGGGAGGTTTCATCCTCCCAAAAAAAAAACAAAAAACGAGGGCCGTGGGCTTATCCTTGGCTGCGAGGCAGATGGTGGTGATGGATGGGGAAATATCATTTTTTTGGGGTCCTGCCCAGAGTGAGCTGAGCATTGTTGGTGAGAACAATGCCTGGAGGCATCCAGATGAGAGCCCCAAAGGATGTTTGCCAAGTGCCCAGGGTGGACGCACCATCGGGGTGTGATCCAGGCATGCAAGATTCCCTTTCTTCTCTAGTGAAAAAGTAAAAAAAAAATAGAAGAAGAAGAAAAAAGAAAAAAAAACACATTAAAAATAAAAAATAAAAAAGCAATCTCAGCAATCCCCTTCTGCAGCAGCAGGATTTATCTTCCCAGCCCCTGCAATCCCCTCCCGGGCCCGCGAGGCCATCCATCTCTCACCTGCTATTAGGGAGTTCATCTCCCGGCCCTAATGGACTACGTGAGCCCTGGATTCACTCCCGCTGCTGCTCTCGGGCTTCGGGTGGCTGCGGGAAGCGGGCTGGGAATTCATTTTGAAAATCGATGCGGCCGTCGATAGAGCTGGCTTCCCCGGGGGAAGCAGAGGTGCTTTCGCTGGGCTTTGCTTTCTTGCTCCCCTTCATCCCCCGCTTCGTTTTACGCTGTCGGGCTGATGGAGATCACCACCACGTAATTAATTTTTCTTTCAGTGGCTGCCGTGCTCTCCGGTTTCCCCAAATTGAGGTTAATTTGGGAATATTTCCCCTGGCGGTGCAGGATTCATGGGGCTCCTCCACGCGTTGTGATTTGGGGGATGCCGGGCGCTGTCTGCTCCATGCAACCCCAACTCTTCCCTTGGGATGTGTCGGCACAAGAAAATCAATGCAATTTCTTCCTCCTGGGCATATTTTGGCTTGCTGAGGCTTTCCCGTGCCATGGGAAGAGCAGAGCCTGCAGAGGACTGCTCAGGGAAGAAGGGCCCCAACCTGGCACTGCTCTTGGTTGTCCCCAGCTGGGGACACGGCACCTTCCTTGGAAGGGTCTTGGCCAAAACCCGATGTCATGGGCAATTCCTGACCATGATTCAGGAGACAGCAGGACCGTGGGGCCGTTCCCAAGAGGCATTTTGGGTGCAGACACCCTATTTTGGAGAGCAACAGGGCTGTGGGCTCCTCCACCATGCCGGTGGATCTCAAAGAACTCGATTTAGGGCTCAGACCTGGGACTCCCAGAGCTCTCAGGGCTCCTTTTCCAACGGGGATGTGTCTTCACTGCTATGGGATAAATATTTAATAAGAATAAGGGTCAAGGCAGTGTTTTGTCCAAGGACACCGAGACGGCCATTTACGCCCATGAAAAGCACCGAGGGATCTTTAATGCCCATGCAAAGAAGACAGAAATTGAGGTTTTAAGCTCTCATCCCCCACCATTAATGTCAATGTTGCGTATCGATCCTCCCCGTGTTTAGCACAAACCGAACAATAGAGCCGAGCCACGCTCTTTGGCTTTTATTAATGTACTTTTTCTGTGTCGGGTGAAGTTTGCAGCATCACTGGGAAAAAAAAAAAAAAATGGAGCGGCGGTGAGCGAGCGGCAGACGGATCGATTTGGTATCTTGACACGAGGCAGGAGTCAGTGAAAAATCACCCCGTGCACAGCGGCTCCTCGTCTGAGCCGCGACAGCCTCTTCATAGGGAGAAGATCAGGGATTTGAGAGAAGGAATGGAAAAAAAAAAGGGGGGGTTGGGAACCTGGAAAATCCCCCGCATCCTTGTGTTGGTTCCCTTATGGGTTTCTGAGGTTGAAAATTCGAGCAGCAGCTGGAGATCCCACGATCTCCAGGGAAAACCTGGGAGTGGTTCTTAGATCACTGATTGCCAAAAATAATAGATTAATCCAGGGAAAGACGGCCTTTTTGTTAGGATTTGGGATTATTTTATTTTATTTTACATTTTTGCGTCAGCACCAAATAAATGTAAATCAGAGCTATAGGAAGGGTGACCTCAGTGCCACACGAGTGTTTTGCACACCAGGAGTGCACATAGGATGGACACCACTGCAGCCAGGGGTGGATCAGCTTTCCCAAAATATTCCACACCTTGGGGACTTGGGGGGTTTCATGTTTAATGGGGTTTACAGCTTGGCTGTAAAAAAACATTCCTGGTTCAAATTCCAGGAGTTTACCAAGGGAGTGGAGTATCTGGGCAGCTATTCCTGACCTCTGGGATATTCTTGATTGAAACCTAATTAATATTTTTAAATGTATTTCTCCTTAATCAAGGCGAGAGGGCACTGGGAGTTGGGTCTGCCTCCTTTTTTTACTGGCAGAAAATGTCAGGAATTCTTTCAGAGTCACAGAATTAATAGGGAATTGGGGAACAGGGCAACGTTTTCCAGCTCTGCTCTCACGGGGTCCATCCAAACTCCTGCCCCGTGCCTCAGTTTACCCGACTGTAGAAGAATGGCAGTGATGTCCTTACACAGAGGAATGGAGATGACTTGAATTACACTTTTAAAGCCTCCCACGGGAGGTCTCTAAGGAAAAACAGCAGCAGAAACCATGGCACAAAAGCTCTTTTCTTCCTTTCCCTTTTTAACCAGGTTTTAACAACCCACAGTTGCTGGCCTGGCATCCCCCAGACATCCCTGCAAGCCGCGAAGGATATGATAAAACGTGATTAAAAAGATAAAATTGAACAAAATCTGATAAAACATTGATCGACCACCTAGTGCTAAAGTATTGATCTACCACCTATCGCTGCTTTTGCTCCAAGTGGAGGAGCCTCCTGCTGCATCCCCAAGAGCTATAAATAAATTCAATGAAACTTCACAAAGCATTTGAGTAGGAAACCCACCAGAGCTCCTTTTGTGGGGTTGCTCAATCCGCTGTATTTCTTTTTTTCCCTGCAGATACCCTGAGGAGCATCGCCTCCATGAACCATGCGCCACGGTCCTCGCCGGCGGAGCTCAGCGGTGCCAACCACCACCTGCTGCGCGAGCGCAAGTCCTCGGCGCCCTCCCACTCCAGCCAGCCCACCCTCTTCACCTTCGACTCGCCCGCTGGCCACCTCCAGAGCACCCTGTCCGCCAGTGCCCCCCAGGACTACCTGTTCCTCCACCAGTGCATGAGCAGAAAGTCGGAAAACGCCAGGTACTGCAGGGAGCAGAACGCGCGGGGAGCCACGGTTGGGGTTGGCCAACTCCACCCAACTTGGAGGAGGGCGCCTTGCTCAGGGTGGCCCTGCTTGAGCCTCTGGAGACCACCAGATGGTCTCCAGAGGTCCCTTCCGACATCAACCCCGTGTCATTCCATGAGTTTTTTTGGTTGTGAGGACTTTTGGCTGACGGGATCAGGGATGGAGGAGGGATGGAGGAGAAGCGGCCGGAGCCCAGCTGGCGGGGCGTGAGCGCAGAGCCTGGGCTGCTGCCTCCGCTGGGTTTTCCTGCCGCAGCTGCCTCTCCCTACCAAAAAAAAATAAAAATCAACAACAACAACAAAAAAGAAAGGGTCAGATAATTAACTTCAGATGGCGTTAATGGAGCAGTGTTTTAAAAAAAGCCCTCTGATGCTCCAGCTGTGATGATACCTAAAAGCCAGCCCTCCGAGAGCCCGAGCGCAGGGAGGATGAGGATGAGGATGAAGAAGAGCAGGAGGAGAAGGAAGAGAAGGAAGGAGAAGTTTCTGATGCTTTGGTGGGCAAAGAAACTGGCCAGCAGCAGCTTCTGCAACTGGGCCAGAAATAATCTCCCCGATCGATGCACCGTTCAGGGGGCCAGGCTGCAGCACTGCTGGGAATCCCTCCCCACCCAGCTCTGCAGCTCTTACTTTACTCATCCATAAAATGAGGGTAATAGTAGCTAATTGGCAGCTGATGCTGAATTATTAACCCGTGAGGGACTGCAAATCCTCGGCCGAACGGGCTGAATGTCTCACAGGCAAACCCAGCTCCAAAGGCGGCGGGGATTCATCGGCGTTATCACAGCATGGAATTTTTTTTTATTTTTTTTTTCCCAAATAAGCCCTATTTCTGAGCGCCACCTCGTGCTGGCTCCATGAAACAGAGCCAGCAGCCCTGCCCAGCGGTGTCAACCAGCATCTCCTGGCTTCTCCCACCGAGCTGACTCTTCCCCAGGGATCTGCAGCTTGAAATCCCCCTGTAACCATTGCGTTTTCTTTCCCCAGCTCGGTGATGGATCCGTGGCAGGGCTCCCAACATGTGGGGATGTTTATATGGGGCTGGTTGAGCTTTTTTTGGGCTGCAAGCACACGATCCCAAAAACCTGCCCCAGCCCAAGGGCTGCTCCCGACTGCTGCGGCTGCATTTGCTCGTCGTTGCAGAAATCACAGTGGCCAGTTTGGGGTGAAAACCGTCTCATCTGCTGATTTGGGTGCAGAAAGCCAAGCCAGGGGGAGATGGTCTGCAAAAAGTCACGCCGGAGGAAGGCAGCAGCAGCAGGGGGGGGATGAAACGGGAAGCTGAGGATGAAACGCGCTTTGCCAGAGGGCTCAGAGGGGCTCGGCAGCTAATGAGCACTCAGCCTCCATCCCTGGGCATGAGCACAATGCAAATCAAAAGATTGTTAGCCAGGCGGGGAGGTAATGGCCACGCCGCCCGGCTCCCCACCGAGGAACCGAGCGTAAGTCTGACTTCAGCCCTGAGATTTATTCCTCTCCGCTTGCAATCGGGGCTGCAAAACCCCAGTTCCCAGCTGGAAGCTGCTGGGAGTGTAATTGGCCTCCACGGGGCTTGCAGCACCCCGTGTGGGGCTCCAGGATGGGGCTGCAGCGTCCCCATCCTGCCATCCACGCGTCCCCGTAGCCGAGTGAGCGATTAAATAGAGCCACAATGAAAGGAAGAGAAAAACAAAACACATCCCTGCCCATCGCTGGCTTCCTACAGCTCTGAGCGCCGACGGAAGGAAATTGTCTCAGCTTCGGTAACAAACAGCCCCCTGCCCCATCCCCAAAACAGGAGGTGCACCTCGGGCAGCGCGACGGGTTCCTGGGGATGCCTTGATCCTATAAAGCTGCTTTTAGGGGCTGCCCCCAGCAGGAGCAGAGCAAAGGGACCCAGTCAGAGCTTTGCAGTGAGCACTTTTCCCTCCAGCTCTCCCTTAAGAGGCTTTCTCCATCCTTCCGAGCAGAGGTTTTATGGCCCTGCAAGAGAGCAAGGTCACAGTGTGATCTTTGTTGGGAAGAGGTTGACTTCACATGAGCATCTTGAAGGTGTTTCAGGACAAAATGGGCTGTTGGGGACATTGGGAGGAGTCGGAGATGTTCTCATCATGTTGGGGTTGGCCAATGTAGCTTGGGAGGGTGGCAAGGATGGGGAGCAGAGCTCGGTGCACCCCAGGAGCCTCTCCCCAAACCTCAGCTCCTTTCTCCCCTTTCCTCCCCAGGAGCGCCAGCTTCTCCCAGGCCACCAGGTCGTCCTTCTTCATGCGCAGCGACACGGCCGTCCAGAAGCTCTCGCAGGGCAACGGGCACTGCGTGAACGGGGTGGGCGCGCAGCTCCACGGCTTCTACAGCCTGCCGAAACCCAGCCGGCACAACTCGGAGTTCAGGGACAGCGCGTACGACCTCCCGCGGGCTTTCGGCTCCTACTCCCACCCCAAATCGAGCCTCACCAGCTCCGAGACGGACAACGAGGACGTCTACACCTACAAGACCCCCAGCAACGCCCTGTGCAAGGAGTTCGGGGAGCTCTCCACGGACTCCTACGACGTCCCTGCCACCCCGCTCTCCGTTTACCAGATCCCCAGGACGTTTACGCTGGACAAGAACCACAACGCTCTGGCCGTGGCCGCCAGCGACTCGCCCGCCGCGCCGCCCCCCCGGCCCCCAAAACCCGGGCAGACAGAGCCACGGTGGGGCAGCCCACCCCAAAGACCCCAGCCCGGGGAAAGCTTAGGGCTGGCCCCCATGGCAGCCACCATTCCCCGGAGAAACACGCTGCCGGCCGTGGAGAACAGCAGGCTGCACCGAGGTGAATTTGGGGATTTGGGGCTTGGGAGCAGCGGGGGGGGGGGGAATTTCTCCCAACAGCCTTGGGCAGGGAGGTCCAACTGGGTTGTGTTAGACACAGGGGGGATGTTTGCAAAAGCCAACGTCGGGTTGAACACAAAAAAGCTCTTTTGCAGTGAGGATCCGGCCCTGCTTTTATTTTGCAATGGGCTCACTGCTTTTATTATGCGTCCCCAGGGCCCTGCACCCCCAAGGGGCTCAGCTGGCTCTTGGCTGTGTTGTGCCTTGAAACAAAACCCCAAACTTGCCTTCCAATGCAGTCCTTCCCCAGGGCTTGCCATTTCTACCTTGCTTTTGGTTTAGTTTATAACCAGGGCTGTCAGAACTCACTTCAGCCTGGATCTAACTCTTCATTTAGCTCACCAGACTGGGAAGTAATTTTGCACATCTCCAGCTCCCAACATACCCAGTAAGGCAGAGGCACCCTTCTCATTGACTCATGGATGAGTTTCCCCTCTCTAAGTCCTGCAGGACTGTTCCTAGCCCTGCAGAGAACAGAGCACTCTTGGAAAGAGACATTTCTCTCCATATCACCTAATCTAACCCAGTTCATACAATTCTTGCTTTCCCAAGCAGAAGAATTTTAGTTTAGAATTTAGTTTAATTTAGTTCTAAATTAACTTAGAAAGAGCAGTTGGAGGGAAAACAATCTACAGATGATACACACATCCCTGAAATGACTTTTCCATCTCCTCTTACCTAAATACCAACATTTAGGTTGAATATGAAAGAGAAGCTCAGCTACAGACCAACCTAAAAGCTTCTCACTCCATCTTCAGCCCCTCCTCCCCCAACAGGAGGCTGATAGCCCTTTATCTAATGAAGCTCTCCCTTAACCCAGTTTTGTCACTGTGATCTACCTTACCTGACGTCTTCACCCTGGCGTTTTGCAGCACTTTGACAGAACCAGGTTAGGTCCGGGCTGCACGTGCAGTTGCACTGATGCTTTGGAGAGGCGTTAACAGGGAGGGAGCACTGCAGGGTGTCCGAGGAGTTGTGATGGGCTTCGAGCCGCATCATCCTACCAGCATCACGATCAGCAGGAATACAAAATGCCTTCCCAGAACCTACATTTTGCTTTGGAGAGCCCAGTTTGTTAGTGGATGCTCTGGGACACGTGCTTTTGTGGTTGTGTTGCAGCTTCTTCTTGCGAGACGTACGACTACCCCCAGCACGGGGGCGGCAGCGCCGTGCAGTCGGTGGAGTCCATGCACGACGGGTACAACTCCTACCTGGTGAGTTGGCCTTACAGGTTCAGAGAGGAGTCGGTTCCAGGCAGGACCTCAGGGTCTCGTCCTGCAGAGCTGACTCCAGCAGGGTTGTGTCACTGATTTCCTGCAGGACAGAGCTGGAGGGACAAACACCCATCCCAGCACAACTTTGCTTTGGGTGCTTCCACAGAGTTTCTTGGAGGCTTAACCCCAAAAAAACGGCCCTAAAGGCTTCTTCCTAAAAGCTATCGAGCTGCATTTTGACATGTTGCCAGAACAGACTCTCTCGTGCACTTTCTAAGACTTCCTGAACTGGAAATGACTTTACAGTGGCCTTTCATATTACATTTTAGTGCAATGGCCAGAGCCCAGAGAAAATTGACTTTCCACGTTAAGCGTGCTTCTGCAGAGCACTCTGATCATGAGAAGAGACGCCCCTTTGGGTGACTAAAACCTTTCCCTGCCCTCAGGGTCTTGAAAACATGGTAGGTAGACACACTCAGTGCTACCCGATGGCCAAGCAGGGGACAGACTGTCCCTTCCATCCATGCTGAGATGTTAAGGCTGGTTTGGTGATGATGATGAGATGCAGGGGGGCTTATTCATAGAATCAGGTTGAAAAGGACCTTAAAGATCATCTAGTTTCAACCCCCCTGCTCTGGGCAAGGTTGCCAGCCACTAGAGCAGGCTGCCCAGAGCTACATCCAGCCTGGGTGTTCCTCCTCCTATTTATACGCTGCCTTCAAGTACTGGGAGGCCGCAATGAGGTCTCCCCAGACCTTTCTCTTCTCCAAGCTAAACAAGCCCAGTTCCCTCAACCTTTCTTCATAGAAGAGGTGCTCCAGCCCTCTGATCATCTCAGTGGCCCTCTTCTGGACCTCTTATTACAGGCTGGGGCTGAGCAGTGTCTTGACGCTCTCAATGTCCTCCCACTTGTCCCCCAGCAGGCCAAGGCCGTGGTGGCCCGCTCCCACAGCGCCGACTCCGAGGACAACTACGTCCCCATGAACCCCGGTTCCTCGCCCCTGATCCACACCGAGAAAGCCAACGACAACTCCCAAAATCTCTACATCCCCATGAGCCCAGGACCGCATCACTTCGACCTGGTGGGGTTGTCCTCGGCCACCCTCCCCTTGCACAAAGGAGGAGCCATGGCGCAGTGCCACAGGAGGTTGAGTGAAATCCAGCCCCCGCCAGTCAACCGTAACCTCAAACCTGACCGGAAAGGTAAGAATGGGTGTTTGTGGGCAAAACATCCCAGGAACCCTTCTATCCTTGTGATATTTTGGGCTACATCTGTCTTGTGTCACCAGCAGCATGGTCAGACCCTCAAATTTTCCTCTTTGAGGAAGGTGATCCCATCATTAGTATGTCAGCATCTAACATGATCGATGAACCAGATGAGGGCTGGGACTGCAGCACAGCATTCTTCTCTTCCACCTAATGAACCACCCAGGATGAGAAGAGCTTTCATGTTACCCTACAAATTTCCTTTTCAAGTCCCTCTGTTGCCAGAGGTTGCTCAGTGCTGCTGAAGCCTTGATCAGCTCTGCCTGGCTGTGGGCTTTTTCCCATCCAACAAGGCATCAGAGCTCCCTAATGAGGCACCATTCCCCTTTTGGGGCCATCCATCTAAATTTGGGGCTGTGGGTCAGAAAAAAAATCACTTTTTTTTCCCCAGTCCCAGTGTAAATGATCTCAGGGGGTTGGGACTGGGGGTGTTTGTCTTCAGCAAGGAGGGTTGTAGAGCTGGTGAGAAAAATGGGAAGCAACAAGCAATTTGTAGCAGACTGTCCCCTCTCATGCCTGTTGTGATCTGAATAAATAATTCTTCCCCCCCCCCCCAGCAAAGCCATCACCACTGGACCTGAGGAACAACACCGTCATCGATGAGCTTCCCTTCAAATCGCCAGTCACAAAATCCTGGTCCAGGCCAAGGTGAGTGATGCATGATGCATATTGAATTTCCCTAAAAGCTGGGTGACCCCTTCCGCCCTGTTTTCTTTTGTTTTGTTGATGTTAGAAGCAGGAGCTGCAGAGCTGGGTCATGTCTTTTAAAATATACAAACATAGGAGCAGCTACGTTGAGCTAAAAGTCCGCCTTGCCCTAAATCCTCATCCATCAGGGCCCAGCAGCAGCTACCTGAGAAGAAGATGAGAATTGGGCATTTACATGTATGGAGTGATTCTTTCTTAAAATATCCTGCCACACCATGGTGGTTTGGGACTCAGGGATTTCCCTGGATACATCATGGCCAGACTTTGGGGTCAGATGCTGTTGAAGAAGAGGAGCCCGATGGAGCTTGCGAGCTCCATCAAGCGTTGTGAGAGCCAGAGTCATGTTCCCCACATCACAGCCAGCGGCAGGAAGATGAATTGGTTTAGGTTAGGCTTTCACATGAAAGCCCAGCATGTGGCCGAGCAGCTAATTAAGATCCCTCGGAGACGTTTCCTATTTCTGGGATCTGACACCACCCGCGGAGCTGTGGCTCCGACGCAGGACCTGTGGTCCGCCGCAACTCGTGACACGGCTGAGTGACCCCAAACCAAGCCACACTCGGGGCACGGTACCAATTTCACATCCAGTTTATCCCCCAAAACCCTGCTTCAGCCTAAAAACGCAGGGTTTGACCGAGTCGTGTTTGGATTGCCTTGAAAGCAAAGCCTAGCCTGGAGGAAGCCTGCAAAACGAAACCAAAGCACTTCACAGCGAAGTCTGCCGGCCAAAAATAACAGGATTCACACAGTTCCAGTCCTGCTGCTAATTCGCGGGCTGATGTTGTCCAATGAAAGGAAGAAGCCAGGCTTGGCTGTTATGACTCTTCTCATAAATTGGATTGTGTGGAGACTGACTGCAGGGCATGGGCTCTGCGTGCTGAAAACACTGCACCAGGAAAGGGCGAGCGGGCTTGGATTGACAAGATGTCCAAGCCCGGAGGAGCTAATGTTTTGTTTGTTTTTGTTTTTTTTTTTTCCCCTTATCAGCTAATCAGATGACCCTGCCTTTACTGCAAGGCAACGAATAGCTTTTTAAGACATGGGCTTTAATGCCAGACGCTGATTGCATTAGGTTATTCTCCGTAATTAGATCTGGCCAATTGAAAACAAGGCGACGCCTCAGAGATTTTGGTTTCCAGCAAAAAAAAATCCAGCTAGGGCCCTGCACAGTAAGCAAAGCCTCGAGCTGTGGCAGGGCTGGAGGTGAGAAGCCTGCTGTGGACCTCCACGGAGGCTGGCTCTGCATCCTCCCCAGTGAAATACTTCCTGTGAGATAAAAGTGTTTATGGGGCCAGATTTATGTAGCTGATAGCAGGAGAGTTTATAGCAAGCAATGTGTTATTAAAAAGGTCCTAGAAAGAAAAAAAAAAAAAAAAAAAAAAAAAAAAAACAAGGAGACCAACTGAATGATTTGTTGACCCATGGAAAAGTCAGCCTCAATGCCACCAGCTTTTCTCCACCACCCACCACAAGCACGGTGATGTTTGGGGCATCAAGTGCTGCCCTTTCCCACCCCTTCCCATCCACGGATGAAGAGCCCCCGCAGCCGTCCCTAAATCCTTGCCCCTTGTCCTTACAGCCAGACCTTCAACGCCGGCTCGCTGCAGTACTGTCGCCCTGTCTCCTCCCAGAGCATCACCAGCACTGACTCAGGAGACAGCGAGGAGAACTACGTGGCCATGGTAAGGGCTAAGATATAGGTCCAAGATGCTGAGAAGCTAAGATATAGGGTCCCAACGGGGTGTATACATCCCCCAGTGCGGCAAACACATTCCTAGCTCGTGACATGGGAGCACCACAGGGATTCTGGTAGCACCAGGAGGGATGTGGTGTGCATCCCTTTGTTCAGCTAGGCACGAAACAGCGGCTTTTGTTCCTAAAATGGCACATCCTATTGGGGTTTTAACTCAATATGAGAGCAGAAACATCTATTACCCACTTTACAAGGAATTAAGAGGGGATAAAAACGCCCATGGGCTGTCAGGATAAATTTTCCTGATTTAAGTTGATTTTTTTTCTTTTTTTTTTTTTTTTAAATCCTCCTAATAGCTGCTGACATCATGGCTGTGTGGAGGGCAGGGGCTATCGGCGCAGCAGCAGGGAGTGGCCCTGCTCGCAGGGAGGGGATTTTGTCTCTCTTTGCAAAGCTGCTGACTTGAAGCATATTTTGAAGGCTGTGTAAAGGAGAGGGGGCCAAGCAGATCCGTAGCGTGGCTGTGATTAGCAAAGATCCCAGCACTGGCCTGGCCTCACGAGGTGTGGCTCCCAGGAAATGCTGGAGCTTACGTCCGATGTCAGGCATGTGAATAAAAAGAGCACAGGCAGCAGAAAGGCTGATATACAAAATCTTGAGGATTAATTTGTATTTATCAGTCCCATACTCAACCCAGCAGTGCTGCACACGCTGGTCCCTGCGAGAAAGGTGAGAGCATCTCCAGGCTGGGACCTCTTTTGAAAGTGCCACTGAAGCTTTTCTTTGCCAGATGTGTGTTAATTCCTTCTTTTTTATTTTTTTTATCCTTCTTCCCATGTTAATGCTCATTATCTCTCCTGTCTCTTCCCTGCATTAGCAAAACCCCATTTCTGCTTCTCCTGTTCCTAGTGGCACCAACAGCCCAGCGCCTAAAAAGAGTTCTGGGAGTGTGGATTATCTGGCCCTGGACTTCCAGCCGAGCTCACCAGGGCCACACAGAAAGGTACTGGGGTTTTTCTAAACTTCTGGTTAACAGCAAGGCATTTTTTGAGGGTTTTTGTGTAGGGCAGGGTTAGTAACCTCAGAAGAGTGATGTTTTTTTTTCCTGCAGATCTGCTGTTGTATTTATTCTAGGTCAGGTTCGGTCTCTGTTTTGTCTGCAGCTTTGCTGGAGGTGTCACCAGAAGCACAGGTGTTGAGGGGTTCAGGGATACTGATGAGACCAGAAATCCTGCTAGATCTTGTAAATTTGGTGCCATAGGTATAAGCTGTCAGGAGGTCTCCCAAGAAGCAGCAGCAGAACTTTTTGCTCCTTCAGAGCAACAGGCCCTCCAAAACCAGAGAGGTGCTCACACATAAAGTGCTGGGGATCTGTCTCCTGCTGACATTTGGATGCTTCTACCAAATGTCAAGCGGAAATGTGGAAGCTTCCAAAGACCCAGATGTTGGTGACTTAAAGTGAATTACAGGAGAATAGAGCAAGGGAGGACCTCAGGAGAACCTTTGTGGGAGCCACCTCTGCATTGGCCTCAGCTTTCTCAACCACCACCTCATTTCCAGAGAAAGCATCCCACTGCTTAGCTCTTCGTATTATTTAAAAGTTGTCCCTTGATTCCTTCTTTCTGCCCAGCAGTATTTCTGTAGCTATTACCGATTTAAATAATAAACCACACGGGTTTCTGACCATCCAAACCATCACCTAGCTCCAGCTGCAGCAGCTGAAATACTTGTAAGAGGCAGAAGAGCTTCCAGAGCCCAAGAAAATATGGGGAAAAAAAAATCTCCTTTTAACTCAGCAGCTCTCCCCTGTTGTTTAAAGGGATTAAAATATTCTAGAGCGTGTGGAGCTGGGATTTTTTGGCTCATCTATAATTATTCTTGAGTTCTTTACAAGAAAACGAGCACAATGCAAAGCTGAATTTGCAATATCAGCCGGTAGGTAACACGTTTCCAACCAAACATTCAGGAGGTTAGAGGGAGGGTGATGAGCTATGGATTACGGGGGAAGGCCGGGGAGGATCTGGTGGCCTCTGGAGCTGACAGGTGGCCACGGGTGGCCGTGTCTCTCCCCCCGCAGCCCTCCACCTCATCGGTCGCCTCGGACGAGAAGGTTGACTACGTGCAAGTGGACAAGGAGAAGACGCAGGCGCTGCAGAGCACCATGCAGGAGTGGACTGACGTGCGGCAGTCCTCGGAGCCCACCAAGAGCACCAAGCAGTAGCACCCGGGGCGGGCAGCTCAGCGGGCAAATATCCTCGTGGTTTTCCCAGCTCTGTTTGGGCTGGATCCCTGAGACTGTTGTCTGCCGAGGGGAGGGGGTCTTCACGACTTTTTTTCTTTTAAGACAAAAAAGAAACTTAATTTCAGGGGAAGACTTGGCGGATACTGTTTGCCGATGGTAAAGAGCAACCACGTTCGGTGGCTAGGTTTGTGCTTTAGCTGCTGGATGCGCCATCCAGGATCTTCAACGTAGCAATACCAGGTTTCACCCTACACGTCTGTTGCTTACAGCTATTAAAGCCACCTTGTACGTGCTAACATCATCTCTCCCCGTCTTCTTCCATGCCGTACCCCCAAACCATGCCATACACGTCTGACAGCACCTCTCACAGGACCTCATTCCCGCATCTCCTCATGGTTACCCTCTTCTCTGCCTCCTCCCAAACCCCAAAACTGAGTAAGGACCCTTCCTGTCTGACTTTACTTTCATCATCCCATCTCTTGTAAATAATGACGTGTTCAAATCTTCTGACAGCTGTTCCCCTGGTGGGACAGCCCCTGTGTTTCTGGTTTTGGTTGTTAACCCTCAGGGGCTTGACGAGTGTCCAGACTGCCCCATTGAGCCCAGAACTTGCCCCACCATACCCGTATATATGCCAGCATGTGCTCACACGTGCATGCATGCATGAAACAGCCAGGTTAGTTGGGGTGTCTTCTGCTGTTGATGCTTTCCTGCATCTCTCAAAGTTTGGAGAGAGAGGCTTTGGAGAATTTAAGCCTATCTGAAGTCATTTGCCAGTGAATCTGGCCCTAAAAACCCAAATCTGCCTTTTGTGGCATTAAAAGAAGGCCACAGAGGAAGAGTCCTACATCCCTGGCCACCATGAGAAGCTCAGTGGTTGAGTACGAGGAGTGTAGAGAGGTTCTGTAGACCATGAATGTCCGGCCTGGCACGAGGATGAGTGGGAAGGAGGGAGAAGGAGGCTGTTGTGGGGACCAGGAGAAGGCAGGTGCTGTACCTTAGAGGTTGGATTGGGGTGAAGAAGGTCTGGTGAGGTGCATCTGAGAGAAAAAAGGAGTGGAGTAACTGAAACGTTGGTCGGTGGTGAGGCCTTGGGCTTGGGAAGAGGTTGGTGAGAAGAGCCAGGACAGGGTGTCTCAATGGGTGTTAGCTTTAATGTAGCATAAAAGTCAGTTGTTACTGGGCACAAAGGGCCGGACTTTGTATTTTTCCCCATCTTCAGTGATGTTTCTTCAACACAAATAGGACTTTTTGACCATTGTGGATGGGAATCTGCTGTAGTCCCACCTGCATCCTTGACACAACCAGGCTTTGGGATCGCTCCACGAGAAGCTGGAGTGGAGAAGGAAGAAGAAGGAAGAGGCAGCTCGCTGCAGAAATAAGAATTTGGGATCTCACTGAAACAGGAAGGCCTAACGGTCGGCATGGAGAGGCCTGGCTGCCAGACAGTGGGCACTGACACGGACACACAGGCCAACTGCGAGCTGGGAGCTGAACAAAGATCATTTCTGTTAGAAAGATCAAGTAGTGGTTTTTGTTAAAGAGCTTGAGTTCTTCCTTCCAGCTGAACCCTGCCCCACACAGGCTCTGCCTCCCACCACCACCACCAAGAAAAACAAACCTTTGCGTTGACTCTTGATGCTCAAGTGCTAGCACGTTTGCTTAATCTTGGCCTGAATTTGGAAGGGGCCAGAGATGGCCCACGCAGGTATGGGATCTGGGCCCTTAAGTGCTGAGTGCTGCCTTGAAAGTCTCCAATTTGCATCCCCAGTTTACGTTTTCTTCTCTTTTGCCATGAAATGGAAGGATATTAATGGAAAAAGCTCCAATAACCCATGTAAGACATTGCAGTGTTGGCCTTTTACAGGAATAATGGAGCAAATATCCTAATGCTTTTGGTAAAAATAATCATCATCTAGGGGGAAAAAAAATGACCCAAAGGGGAAAATTTAGCACAGACAGATGCTTTGTGAAGGCCGGGGAGTGTTACAGCCTGCAGGGGCCTTTGCCTCTCATTGAGGGCTTGCATGGTGAGATAATGAAATGAAGAGCAGGGAGCAGGGCTCTCTGTAGCCCCTTTCATCATCACATCTCAGGGGAGACGGAACATTGTTCTGGTCCAGAGCCTGCTGAAGTCACTGCAAAGACTCCCGTGAAGCTCGGTGAGCTCATCAAGAGGCCGTGGACAGATCCTGTGGTCTCGGCATCCCGTGAGGGAAAAGCCAAGCCCAAGGACCTGCTGGGTGTTGGCGTGGCTGGAAACGAGCTCTGCACCATCCCTGCTGAAAAGCAAACGTGATTCAAGCAGGAACTTGCTTTTCCTATGTCACCCTCTATCCTGCTGTACACAGAAGAAGATCAGGGGTCAAGAAGACAAGGGTCCCAAAAGCACCCTGAAAGCAGGGAGACAAGGGAGAGGCAGCAGCAACCCTCATTTCTGAGGACGCAGTGGCTTGAAAGCCAAAACGGATGGGTTTTGCATTTCCAATTTCCCAGAAACAAATATATTCCTCCTTTTTTTCTTTTTTTTTTTTTTTTTTTCCCCCTGCTGAGCATCAAGCAAACAGCCCCTCCATACCAAGCAGCAACTCGCCGACTCCATCCCTGCTGTATGGACGTGACTGTAGCAGCCCCTCCTGAAAGAAATCGATGGCTGCAGTGGAAATAGTCATTCCTGCCAGTTGCCGGGCTGATTAGAGCAGTCCCCGATGATTAATGTTTGTGCAGTATTTAGTCTTAAACTGTATCGAAAAGCAGCTGGTTTAATTACACGGCCTGCCAAGAACTTTGTCCTGAAGGCATTGAGTTTATCACATCCACTTTATACTCAGATGCTCAAGTATGACTGGCTCTTTTGTTAGGAGTAGGTATTTTAGGAAGCCGAGAGCACTGCTAATGATTCATTTTAATTGCAAGCAAAAGACCTGGCTCGAATCCTTATGTCAGAGCCTGCACTTCAGCTTTATGGGCTCATTTTAAGAGAAGGGCTGTGCTTTTGCGTGTGTGTGCTCATGGAGAAGGGTCGATTGCAGGACAAGCACTACAACCTCAGTAGTTCATTTTAGAAAGCATCAGGGCCGTGTCAGAAAGCTCCCCCCGAGCTTTAGAACTGCTAGGTTTGTGGGTTTAGAGGCAGAAACTTCCCAAAATACATGTACATATCCCATGTTGTGAGTCTGCACCTGCTGCTCGCAGCAACTCGTGCGACGTGCGAGTTGTCTTGGAACCAATTTGCTCTGAATTGGCATTTGAACATTCAGGGGAAAATAAATTGCTGGCTCTGAAAGGATACAGGGATGAGGTTTAGTCTCAAACAGGAGAAAGAAAATACGTGTGTGTGCAGATTGTGCTGGGGCAGACTGGCAGATGGGGCTGGGTTGCCTGGAGGATAACTGGGATGGGTTTGGAGCCTCACAGGCACCAACCAGGGTTGTCTATGGGCTGGGAGGAGAGAAGGCAGGTGTGTTTGCCAGAAAGGTTTGAGTCTTGGTCTTCCACACCTCCTTTGGCATGTCTGAAGTCAGATCTGCAGAGGGGGTTTGTGGAGGGAAGGGTTTTGCTCAGTGAAGGCCTCGTGCTGGTGGGAGGGCAGCACCCACTGCTCTCAGGCCTTACCCAGAGCACTTCATCCTTGAGGTGTGCAGGAGAAGCCCTACAGGGAGATACTGAGATGTCTCCGTCCTTGAAGGTATTTTAAGACCTGACTGGGTCAAGGCCTGAGCAAGTGGGTCATACCCTACTGCTGACCCTGTTTAGGGCAGGGAGTGGGACTAGAAACATCCCTTCCCCTTGAATTCCCCTAAGACCCTGCTGCTGCGTCTGAGTGAGGCCTCCTCCATGTGAGGGAAGGGGCCAAAGGCAGTGCCTGGATGTCTGTGGTATCCTAAAATCTTCTCTGGCCGTGACGTGAAAAGGCACAGCTCAACACCTAAGGTCATACACCCCGGTGAGGAGGCCAAATCCACACTGGGGCCACCCCTTGCACCTGCAGAGGGCTGGCTGGCCCGGGCCAAGTCATCCAGGACACGGACACACAGTCTGAGCCACCGGGGAACAGCCTGAACCTGTAAAGTTGTTAGGATAGACACTGACTGACCCAGGGCTCTCTGGAGCCCCACCTGAGCCCTGACACCCCAGGGTCCCACTCCCAGGAGCGTACCAGGAGGAGCTGGTTCCTTTTCTCCACCCATTGAGCACGGCTCATGGGCTGGGATTGCATTAATTTTCTTTGTAGTAGCTTTTTATGGTGCTATGTTCCGGGTTTGTGACGAGAACAGTGTTGGTGACACCCCAGTGTTGTAGCTGTTGCTGAGCAGCGCTCGCGCAGAGCCAAGGACCTTCAGCTCCTGGTGCTGCCCCACCAGCGAGGTACCTGGGGGTGCACCAGGAGCTGGGACACAGCCAGGAGCTGACCCAGGCTGGCCAAAGGGACGTCCCATGCCATACAAGCACCATGCTCAGCAATAAAACTCGTGGGGAAATTTGCCAGGGCTGCCATTGCTCAGGGACTGGCTGGGCCTTGGTCAGCTGGTGGTGAGCAAATGCATTGTGCATCGCTTGTTTTCCTTGGTTTTCTTTATTTTATTTTTTTCCTGGCACAGGCTGCCCAGAGAGGGGCTGGGGGCTCCTCCTTGGGGATCTCCAGCAGCCGCCTGGACGTGGGGCTGGGCCCCCTGCTCGGGGTGGCCCTGCTGGAGCAGGGCTGGCACCACAGGGACCCGTCACCACCAAGCACTTGGTGAGAGCCTTGGTGTCATGATTTCTCCACAGCCTGAAGCAGTCCAGCCCCTCAACAGCGTGTCCTTTGTGTCTCATCCTTGTAGCTGTGATTTTATCTCCTTCGTTTTGCAGCTCTGAGAGATGTGCTATCAACCAGGCTCCTGCCTCAGAGCTTGCTCTGAGAAGAGCTGATGTGTAGCGAGGTGTCACCCAGCCAACCCACAACCTACGTGGGAGAGCTTATCCCCAAACCCAGGGGGTAACAAACCATCCTTTTTAGTGTTGGCCTTTGGGTGACACCACACTTCATCTTCAGAGGGGCCAAGGGAGTGCGCCTGAACTCCCTGTATCCTGCTTTCTCTCCAGCCTGTAAAATGAAGATTTTTAGTGCTCGTTTCCCCACCTCACAGTGAGGTTTAAGTAGTTGACAACTACATTGTCACATTGTCCCTGAAAACACGTTTTATCTGAGAGCCCTTTGGACACGCGGAGCATCGTGGAGAGGGAAGGGAGCGGGACCCTGCAGAGCCCCCCGACAAATCCCATAGGGTTAGGACCAAACCTTTAGCTTAGCTACATCCCACTCAACCCAGCCCTTGGCAAAGTCCCCCCTGACTCTGGGCATCGTTGCGTGGGAAGGGACCCAGCCAAATTAGGGTAGTTTTCACCCTCCCTTTCTTAACCTGCTGCGAGGAAGGGTCGGAGCCCCGGCTTCGGAGCCGTCGCATCGGCAGCCGATTCGCAGGGATATTTTTGTGTGTTTCGAAGCCTATGACTGTTCTTAAAGAGGAGTATTTTATTTTTATTTTTTTTCTCCATTTGTAGAAGGAAGGACAAGAGTAATCTGTGGCAAACTGTACAGTACGTGTCTTCTTGTGGTGTCACTGTTTGAATGGTTATTAAGTTTTCAAATCACTGTGGACAGCTAATCACTTAAGTTATTAATTTATTCTTTGGGGTTTTGTTGTTTGTTTGTTTTTTTAAGTAATTTGAAACAATTATTTATCCTGTAAATCGGTCTCGAGTGAAACCTAGGTAATACTTTTTTTGCTGTTAATAAACATGGTACATGCCTGATGTGAAGGTGATCTCATTTTTAAGTACTGTATATGCAGCGGAAAAGCAACGGGAAAATAAAAGAATGAAACCAAAAATGGATCTCTCACTGCTGACTCCCTGCACGGATTCGGAGCTGGGAGGGAGAAAGGGGGAATTAATGGTTGGGTCACACTGAATTAAGCAGCACTATGAAGCTCTCAGAGTATTCTTCAGGTAATGTCATCAAGTATCTCCTACAGCTTCAGGTGTCCCCTCTCTGCCATGACAGCCTCAAGGATGCACCTGGGGCTTTTCTTGATACCAGAACCCAAAACAGATGTTTTTGGGGCTGATAAACTGAATTTAATACTATGTCTATATCTGTTCTTGCGACGCACTTGGGTACATGCAGGGTGAGGGCAATCACCTTCCTTACCCGTCAGCAGCACAGGTCCCAGCTTAGGTCACCAAATCCCCCATAAAACCTAAGCACAAGAACAAATCTTTCGCACCTGGAGTTAAAAGCAAGCCACCTCCCTACAGCATTGCCCCCCAGAACGCCCTTTTCTAGACCAGAGCAGCATCACAGCACATCTGAGATCCCAAATGTGGAGCTGAGAACCAGGCTGGAGGCTCTTATTGGGCAGAGGTGGATGTGAAACTCCAGCACATACGATATTAGTATGATATATACAAATATTCCTGCTATTAATAACACTAACAGCATAGTAGATATTATAATTGGTATAGCAGACATGGCAACATGCTATACTACTGTATTATAGTACATATATATGGTATAATAGTAATTATAACATGTTAATAGTAATCATGGTGTTAATAATTGATGGCCCACGCTGAGCACTGTGTGCACTTTGCCCCTCCTCATCTCAGCAAATTGTAGGGGGGAAAAAGGAAAAGAGAAAAAAAAAAAAAAAAAGAGAGATACTCAAGGAAGGGCATTGCTATGAAATGACCTCTCCAGCTTCCCGTGTTGCGTTCATTAGTTAAATTAGGGTCTCATGGTCTCATCAAGGCAGAGACCATCTCCTGCTGAAGTGCCATCCAGCACTTGGCCCAGAGCTCAGGAAATGCCTCCAGGTGACACTCCAACACACAGCAGCAAGAGGAAGGTTTTGCAATGCTCCTCTCCCATCATCTTGTTGACCCCATCCACCCCATGAGCACTGCTGTAAGACACGAAGCTTCTCCATTGAATTCATTCATTTCCTTTATTTATATGTAGGAAAGACAATAAAAGAATATATACGCTAGTATATGCCAGAGATTCAATCCCGTGCCAGAAAACGTCCCCTCCAGCAGACTTGCTGCTTGCATCACCCATAGCAATGTCTGTGCTTTGTCTTGTCCTCCACAGCAAAAAAAAAAAAAATGCTCCCCCCAACCCCTCCCAATAGGATTAGGCCCCGCACCCAGGACCTAAGGCACAAGTTTGCCACTGGAGCTAGAGGAAATCTACTACAGGCGCAAGTAAGGAGCAGGTAGGGACGATGGATGGGTGGGGAGCAGCCGGGGAGGGAGCCACAATCCTATAGATGCACTGCCCAAGGCTTGGGCTGGCTCCTGCCACCGAGATCAGTCCCTGTCCCATTTTTGATTTATATAAAGCATTGGTTTACGTACTAGGTATTTATGTTGGGTGCATACAGTGTATTTGGTGGAGTTACTCTTTGTAAATCAGGATATTGAAGAAAGGGATAGTGGTTGCAGGGGTCTCTATCTTTCTTTGTCCCAAAGGGAAGCCCAGTTTTCAAGCCATGAAATGCCAGGTGAACCGAGCCTAAAGACACATCTGGACAAGCAGCTGGGAACCTTGGAGTGCCATGTACACTAACAACATCCAGAGGTCACCAGTAACTAAAGAGGAGCTTGAGTGGCCTCTTCTCAGCCTTTTTCCACCTCTAAAGGTTTGTCCAGGTGGTCTTTTAGAACCACATTATTGAAAAAAAAAATGGTGAAGAGGTTCCCCCAAAATTCACTGCCATGGGAATGGCTGCAGGTGGGATGTGCACGAGCAGCCCCCATCCCCAGGCCATCACTGGACCCTTCCCCATCCCCACCCCGTGCCCTCCCCAGGCTGGTGGCAGCAGGCAAGACACGGCGGCGCTGAAGCACAAGGGCACTTCTCCGAGCTGTCTGCAGGCGCTGAGCTGCAAGGCTTCGTTTAAGGCGTTAAGACCGAGTGCATAGGAAGCAGGACGACCCTCCGGGTGCCAGCAATGCAGTCTCCAAGTCAGCCCCTGAGTCCTTTTCCATCGCGACGTTCCCCAAATCCTCCTCTGAGATGCTCGCTGCCAGCAGGGCGAGGAAGAGGAGCCTCTGGCTTTGGATTGGCCCCGTGGATGTTTGATGTTCTGATTTCACCCAGCTGCTAGAAGACAAGTCCGTGAAAGGAGCCAGATCCACCTCCGCCCGCTGCAGGGCTGCATCCCCCCGAGGAGCTGTCATCGTCCTTGTCCCTGTCAAAGTCCCTCCACCACAGCGGGGATTTCGGCAAGGCAGAGATGTAGGCGGCTCGGTTCCTCGCCTCTTTTTCCTGCTCCTGGGAGAAAGAGGAGAAATAACACAAAGATATCGACATTATCTGCAGCTAAAGGGATCCCACCTTCCCTTAGGAGTTAGTCAGCAGCCTCTTTGGGCAGCCTCCTCCAAATTAAGCTGGGGTTACCAGGCCACGTCCTCATCTCTAGAACTTGGTAGGGGAGATGCATCGAAGTGTTGGGTCTCTCCAGCCATATGGGTGATCAGAAAACAGCCCTTCAATGTGCACCTCGCAAGGGTAAAGGGCCCTTGAATTTCCCTGTGACTCCCAAATTTCACCTCATACTCCTACACTGCTGTTTGGAAATATCTGAACTTTGCTGGTGAATGAAATCTGCTCTGGAGATAATTCCAGTGCAGATTTATCCTTAAGACTTGACCCTACTGCTGCCCAGGGGGTGGAAATTTGCCCCACAAGCTGGCCAGCCACAGATCAGGCCCTGCAGCAAGCGGCAAGGGGACATCTTACCTGCAGGTAGAGAATGTTGTCTTTGGAGATGGCTTCCATCAAGTCCTTATTGAGGGAGGGTTCCCCATGCAGGTGGCCGGCCTCGGCCGCAGCCTCGTGCAGTGGGCAGCTCTGCGTGCCCGGCCGCTGCCTGTAGAAGAGCACGTAGGCAGTGTCCTTGGGGAAGAAGGAGGTTCACGTTGCTGACCGATTCGAAGGAGGAGAAGGAAACCCTGGTGTCGTTGAAGAGGTACCACTGGATTTCAAAGTCCAACTGCTTGTCAGAAGCCGGTTTCGGAGCCCCGTCCCGCAGCTGCCCATGGGGCACGGCGTCAGTGCACTCCCTGGAGTAGCAGTAGTAGTGTCCGCTCTCGGAGGAGATGCCCGAATGCACCACCACGCTGCAGAGGTCATACACGACGGACACGAAACTGCTCCCAGGGCCACCTCTGCCCTTCCTGTGTCGCCAAACATCCTCGTTTTCCTCCGAGGAGACGAGGACTGGTAGCTTGAGCACCACGGGGATGGAGACATTGTCCAGGATCTTCTTCCTCTTCATGGTCCGCGGGTCGAAGGAGAAGCGCAGCAGCGTGAGGATGAGGTAGTGCGGCCCCTCCGTCAGCTCCGCCACCTTCTCGGCGTCCTGCAAGGAAGCACATTTCTCACAGTGGTATTTGTTCTCCGCCGTCAGTCTCTCCGGGGACAGGAAATAGTTGATTAAATCCGGGACGGATCGGGAGTCCTTGGGAGCGGACGCCTGCTCCCCAGAAGCCAATATTGGGTCTTTGGTTGATTCTGCTCCAACAGCGTCGCGGCTTAAGGGATCTGATGGTTCTCCAGCCTCCTGAAAACCCAATGTTTCCACTGGCACCGGCTGAGCTGGGTGGTCTCCAGACACATGGGGCTTCCTTCGGACCCAAGGAGACCCCATTACCTGGTTTAGGTTTTCAGGAGGCTCAATAAACTGCGGGCCAATTTCTTCCACGGGTAGAACAGAGGCACTCCCAGGCCCGTGTATGTGCCTGTCCGGCGGGGGGAAAGCCAACGACAGGTCTGTGAAGGCTTCTTCTCGGGAGGAGACATTGAGACACTTCAAGCAGCGGATCTTTGTCATCATTTTACCCCCAAACATCTTCTCAATCAATGTCTTGTTTAAGTAATGATGCTCCACGGCCTGAGACATCAAGCTGGACTCTTTGAGTTTCTGGTAGATCCTCTTCCCGGTTTTTTCTTCTTCGTGTAATCTTTGGCAGAGGAAAAAAGTCTGCATTATACACCAGTACAACACCAAGAACTGGTTTCTAAAGTATGGTTTCTGTTATTCAGTCGTGGGGGTTAATTTGGGTTAGCCTGCCTGTGCACAGGGGTCTGCTGCAGGAGGAAGGTGGGGGTGGGCAATGGGCCATTGACCCCACTCCTAGGGGCATCACCAGGACACCAGGATTTGGGATTTCTAGGTGAGAAAAAGGCAAAAAATCAACATTTTAAAGAGGAGGCTTGTCAAGCAAACAGCTCTCCTCTGAACATGGTGCAATTCCAGAAATTTTCAAGCTGGCCTCATTGCTGACCTCACCGCCAGGAGGGCACAAGCAAGACACCCCAGACTGGTCTCACCATCCTTCACCCCAAGCCTTTACTCTTTGAGTTCCTCCAGCTCTCAGCCACTTCCCCTCCTTCCCCGTGGGTCAGCATTAAATAACACGCCGGGTCTGGGGAAACCTGTTGCTGCTGGGCTCCGAAATCAGGGTGTTTGCCACGTACCGATCCAGCAGGTACTTGAGATACTCCGAGCAGTCCTGCTGAGCACCAGGAGTAAACCAGGGTGGCCAGGAGGCGGAGAGGAAGCTCTCGGGTGAGATGGCAGGTCGCTGGCACCAAGAGAGAAAAACATGTTTAAGCCATGAGGTCTGGATTCCCACTTCATAGCAGGGAAGGCTTGCATGGTTTGCTGCAAGCCAGGACTGGAAGGATTAATATCAGCCCTACTGAACCTCCCTTTTTGCTATTGTTATTAGAACAGGAGCTTCCAAATGCTCACTTTTACCTATATATTTTTATATATATTTCTATGAAATATCCACGCATTTACTTCATTCAGTTTTACAA